GTTTGTGCCATAAATGTACAATGCATGACATAACACAGCAATCAGAATCACATCTTATCTTCAAAGCGTATTGGTACACGTACTAATTGTAAAATCCAGTTGTCACCAGTTGTGCTATAAATTCATCTAACAGTTACGATCCTTCGCCGTACACTGAGCATAATTCAAAGGCTTGTGCTACTTTTGAAAATTTCGAAAATCTAATAATCTTATCATAATTCTACACTTTATAAACAAAAATCTTAGGGCTAGTATTTTGTTTTTCGTTTAACTATCGCCATCTTGCAACCTCGTAACTACTGTAGAATCCGGATTGCCGGTGACATGTCGAGACGCCATGTTATTTATGACATGAATTAATCAAAATTTAAGCGAACTTCTAGTGAAAGTGCCGTCCAAAATGATTCAGCAATATTCTAAATTATGCGGAACGTAAATTGTATAAAACATGTTTATTTTTATATTTAAATTATTTAGCTTTTAATAATACGTTTTAAATTAATGTCGAATGCATATTTATTTTTGAATTGACGCTTTTAAATAGAGAGATTTATATGCATTTTTATTTATACAGCTTCTGTTCAGGATTTCGTACGCGCAAACCTGTTTTTCCCTTTCCTATTAGATTTTGATAATTATTAGATAACAAGTATTCTACATATATTTGTCTCCTGGTTCTAAGCTACCTCCCTACTAATTATCAGTCAAATTATTGACGTAGATTTATCCGTTTTTTGACTTATAATAGTGTACTTAACTAACACGATCTTTTCTTCTTTTTTATAAAGACAGATAATTAAACGTCAGGAAATACAATAGTAAATGTAATATTTTATTATGTATCGATCGAGTACCTATTATATTGATCCTAAGTAAATATCAATACTAATTGAATACACTTTTAAATTGATAGTAGTTTTTACAATTCTACGAATATTACTTTGTACATACATTGGTGCATTTCAATAAATATTAATTTAGGTATATAGCAATATAACCGCTACATTAATAGGCAATATAACTAGTAATTATTTATAATATATAGGAATATAAATGAATAATATTTTGTATTCAGTATCTTGTATTGTGTGGTCACGACACATGCAATGTTGCTCAATTACAGTAACAAAAATCATTTAAATGTAATAAATAATGAACATTATTATATTATATACTTACGGAAAACAATAAAAGTATTCTATTCGAATAAAGTACAATTTTCTTAAATAGTACGCAGGGCAGCGATACAAATAAAAATGATAATTTAAAAATCCTTATTTTGTTCTGTTTAGAAACGTTGTTACTCGATTAGATTCGGGTCACATTTGGGACCCATAATCGAGTTGAATATAGCTACTAACATTTAGAAGCTGTATAATCTAATAATTTTACACAAAATTCGGTGTTTAACATAAAATGTATGATGCAGAGTATATATTTACGTATAGCATAGAGTATATATTTTCATCATCATGAGATTACTAAAGCGAAATCTAATCCGACTTTCTTAAAGATTACATTTCATTCGAGATAAGTAACTTATTTATAAAAGAAACGTATGATTTTGTTTCGATAACTGAATCTTCCTTTCAGAGAACCCAATGGTGCGATAACCTCATATACATACAATTAGTAGACTTAAAGTACATGTATGTATCTTCATGTTGTTTTCACCCCGAAAGTCTTCGTCGTGCAATTCGCGATAATAGAATTTCAAGTTTAGATAAACATGTCGATAAAATGTAAACACAGATATGTAGATACATAAAATGATAATACTGTAATCTCACTGATGTAGGTAGATTGATGATTCATTGTTACAGTACAGATGCATCTCAAAAAACATAAGAGTTCGATTACATCGAAGTTGTTCCAGCAACCTCAATAATATCAATATTTATTTATAGCTAATGTTTTCAAATAATGAGGTTATGCATCGAAGGTAGTACACCTATTTATGTACCAGTGTTTCCTTCAAACTGACGATTATTTTATAGCCTCAGTTTCTATTTTCCGAGAAGTTGGCCAACCTGAGGCTTGCGCAAGAGACAGCAGAAAATATACTGGAAACTGAAAGATGCTACGTCACGCCACCAGTAACTAGTGTTACGCAAATTAAAGCCCCCAATTTAAGATATTGGGGCGGCCTTCTGACACAAATAGGCTCTTCTGATGGGTACCCACGTAACTCGTTTACTGGGCCATCCTATTTTCATCTTCACTCATGTTTTACGCACAAGCTCTTGGAACAGGATATTTTATTCGAGTCTCTAATGAATGGAAATGGAAAATGTCAGCGATGTCGCACCCTTTATACGCCTGTAATATGTATCAAATTCCAATAATAAGCTTGTTGTATAGTTGGAATTGAGTGCACATTTCATATTTTTGATTTTGTTTATTTAATTTGTTGTGAGTGAACGTTGTAATTGATTCGATTTTAAAAGGTTTTTAAAAGTATCGCGTAGTGTTTAGATGTAAACAACATGTAATGTTATTTTAAAATTCTTCTATAACACGTAGGCACATTTTACGCGTAGTAGATCTAGAAGCCTTGCAGTACAAGGGATTTACAAGTGGTGGAAAGTGGTATTGCATAACCCACTTAAATTATCAGTTGAAAAATGTGACGTCACATCAAGTAGATATGGGGCAGATAGGGGGTAGATAATAAAGAATGAATATTGATAGTATGTTTAAATCCATTTAGGTCTAAAACAAAGAACCTAATTCTTAGGTATGTAGGAAGGTATAGCGTAGGTTCAACAGCCTTTTGTTTTAAAACTTGCAGGCGGTGACATTGATATTGAATTCTATATTCTATTACATGATACATAACGTAACGGCTTATGAATGTTTAAATAAGTATTCATACAAGATTTTATTGAGAATCAAGTCTTGCGTGAGTTACGAAGGTACCTATAGAACTAAGAAGGTATCTACTACATAGAATGACTAAATTAATTATTGAATTTCACAGCTGTATTGTGCTAAATTACTCATCAAGTGAAGTATACATGTCTATAATTCAGTCAATTGTAATTATCAGTGTTATAAATTTCTATTAAAAGGGTGTGAGTAAGCTACTTTGAACTTTTGTCTTTCGATAATTCTGAATAAATCCAGTTTTTTTTTCGGGGGAGCAATATAATAACAATGTTAATTATAATATTATGTTTCTTATTAAGATGTGGTTAATTGTTTGTTGTTGCTTGCTTTAACATTACTAGAGAATATTTCTAAGGCGATGACTGTTATTTGCAACCGCTATCAATACGTTTGTTATGACGGTTTGCTAATACAATCGTCAAATAAACATGTTTATTGTAATGCGGTTTCCACGTTATACTCGGGAAAGTTTCAACAATCCTAGAAGCGAAGGAAAAACAAACTGTACAATATAAACACAATAATGTTATTATTTACTAGTACCTAACAATTATGTGGTAACTAGGAGTCACCACATAATTATGTGTTCACTCTAAACAGAATGAGTCAGAATGTTGTGGCTTATTTTCTTTAATCCATATTATTCATCGTGTTAAAGAAAACCTTGAAATACCATGCACCTTGATACACGATTAAACATACTAGTCCTTGAAAGAATGTACGAAATAATGAAAGTAAACATTACATTGGCATTCTTAGAAATATGAAACCGCACACGTGTTATTCGTGTGAGGTGTAAGCCAGTTAGACAGCCGTAGATTATGTAAGGTAAATACGTATTTACATGTAACAAAGTATCAGTGAAATAAGGTAAGACCATTATGCTCTGCCATTGACATTATTGGCAATGGCAAGAAACATTTTAAAAATTCTTTTATTTTTCTTATTTTGTCTATGACGCAAAAGCGCGGGATCTTGTCGAGCTGTCACTGTCATGGTTTTGCAAAGTAAGTGCTGTGCGCTACTGCTTTTGAGGGATTTACTTTTAAAATTTAAAATTAAATCTGGTTGATACCTAAATCAGCTTCTTGGCCTAAAATAAATAAGTCTGGATACTTTTTTCTACATATTCTAATGGCCATGTTTGTAAGATGCAAATAAAGGCATCAGTTGTGTTCTAAAATGCAGCGCTAATAGAGGCCTTACGTGCGTTGATTAACTCAATTATTATACACACTACTAGGGTCAATTAGTGGTTCACCTGTTCCGTAGAGCACGTATCTAATGGAAATATATAATTATCGAACTAACTAACTAGTAACTTGCCTAGCCTAGCTCTTTGTTAAACGTAGACTAAAAGTCAATTTAGTTTATTCTTTCTTACTTAAGCTTTCGTCTTTTGATACATATGCATAAACTTTGGATCGCCACGTTTCTGATGTCTAATATTGCTTTGCCTAACTACCAACAAAATTCATTATCTTTTATTTACTAACTAACCTTTTGAGTAATAACAACAAGGTTATAACGCAATGTTAGTGTATTAAGCATTCAAGGACCATCGAAAATATACCATGTACTGCAATCATGTACGAAGTGGATGACTAACTGGATATCGAAAGATAGGCAAAAACATGCTGATACATATTCGATGAGTGAATTTTGTATACAAGTAGTCATTTATTTTTCAATTTGTTTATACACTACTAAGAATGCATTAGGAATCAGATCATGCTTGTTCTTATCTTCACTTGTATTGTGCCTCCTTACTACTGAGGAACTCGGGAAGCTCCGATAGTGATTCATTTATTTATATCGCTGTACTCGGAATTGTTTTCATCAAAACAATTCCGGCTGTTCGAGATTGTATTTCCCAATGTAACATTATAATGATAAGCAGCATTCTGGTAAACATGATATGTACTTGCATAGGTATATGTTATTGGACTTTATGTGGATTATTTTAAATCTCTGGATAGCTGGTTATTATAAGTACGAATTGATGCAGTCCAAAACCTTTTTGAGGATCTGTTTACAAACGATACAGTTTACAAAACAAGATGATTTTTCATTAGCACGATGTGTATAACGTTGTTGTTTCTTTGTTCTAGGTACCGGCACGTTCGGTCGCGTGTGCCTGTGTCGTGACAAAGCTGCTGATGAATATCTGGCGATGAAGATATTATCTATGGCCGACGTAATCCGCCTAAAGCAAGTAGATCACGTCATGAACGAAAAGAACATTCTCGCCGAAATCAACCACCCCTTCATAGTGAATCTGTAAGTACATTAATTCCAATGTGAAAATGTTCATGTCCCCGTCAATCATTCCTGATGTAATTAATATTCTTGGTGTTCATCCAAGGCGTCTGGACAGACGCGACATCTAAGGGGTAAAGGTATATTTCAGTGGGATCATAATAACTGTGTTTACCATTAGAACATACTTGGGCGTTTAATTAAACGTGCATGGGTGCATGTGACGCACGTCAATTATGTGAGCGCCAAATGTCGGCATTGAGCCAATGTCATTACTTACTCCTGTTTTCATTCCCGACGTTCCGCCTTCCAGCGAATAGCCTGGCGATAAGAAACAAACCTTTAATAGCTGTTCTGCTGTGTCATTTGTAGGTGTAGCCATTGTACGAGTTTGTAGTGAAGTTAATTCATTGCTTGCTATTATTTTGTTTAGTGAAGGCAAAGATTTAGATAGAGATTGCCCCAAATAACTTTTTTGTTCAGCTCTTTCCGTGTTGGATTCGTTTAACCCAATAACCTGTTAAAATGTGCCAGTTACAAGTGTATCGATTACTTTTTGTAATTTATTTTTATATGATCTATTTTGCTGGGGGAAGGGTAAGCGCCAGATGATTGCATGTTTTGAGAGGCGACAAATATCAGTGCGCGTGCCCTATTGATGACGATCTGGCAACTATCACCATGTCACTGATCAGTATATCAATCTCGTATTTACGTAAACGATGTATCTATGTCCAACGTGTTACTATATTTGTACTACAGTGACGTTATTGTTTACATTTAATAGGAGAAAAACAATATAGTATGGTAATGGACTTATTATGCAGTGCACTAGTTGTGGACAAGGACGAATGAAAAACGGGAAATGGTTGAAATAAACAAAGTAGTGAAGTGTGTATACTCGTGCCGAACGTAGAATGTTAATTAGAGTAGGAAATTAAAATGTTCGCAGCATACCAAGTTGTGTGGAATATCTCTATCTAGTTGTGTATCTGGTGCGCATCTGTAACAGTAATTAGTTCGGTAGATACTAATGCGAGATGTCGTAGTCGCGGAGTGCCAGCCTCCTTGAGCTTCACCTTGTTTTCGTATGATGTTGATAGCATTCTCCTTGCAGGCGGTGGTGGACACACGATGACTCCTGCATCTACATGCTTTTCGACTACGTGTGTGGAGGAGAGCTGTTCTCGTACCTGAGGAATGCCGGCAGATTCAGCAACAGTATCGGTAAACACTTACACTTTTATAAAACTGTCACAACGACCTGTCAACTCTTCAACCACAACAAACAAAAGTTTACACAACATTGGAAAACAACGCTACCCAAGTTCAGTTGTCACAACTTTTCCTTTGATGACTAGATTTAAAACAAAAAGCAGTAACAATTTCGCTTATTAATCGTTGTAAATAAATAAACTGGAGCGGAATAAATAAATAAAAGTTGGCAATATTCCAACATTACGCAGGCAACCGTACCATGCCGTACGATTTGTGCGCACGATGCTTCGCAATCACCCACGATGTCCACTTTTTCACTGTATTTTATCACATCACTGCACAGTCTCTACTCGATTTTATCCTTATACACGTGGATAATAGAGACGAATTTCAAATAAAGAAACTTGTTTCACATTACCCTTTTGTTAAAACTTATTATACCATCTTTTACATAAAGTACGATATCAAATAAAATGCGACAGATGTTTTAGTAGTATGTGCATGTCTTATACGATTTGGATAAAATAATTCAACGTTGTGTAATATTTTACTTTCAAAATCAAATAAATATTCTTAAAATACATTAGAAAGACTATCTTAAACCCACGACGTGCTTAAAAACGGTACGAGTGAGCGGAGGTGATTTCTGAAAAACATTTTGAGTATTTAACGGTGTAATACCATTTACGGATCATGATGTCACCACTGCCTTATTAGGATTTTGGTTCTAATCAAGATAATAAAAATAACAATTAAGAAATTGTTATGGTTTTCGATTGAAGGCCTTAAAAATACATACAAAAAGTTTGTAGAACCTACGCGATTTTTAATATTCGATGGGAAAGTTTTATTTATATTCATGTTAACTAATAAAAACATCACGTATCTCTTAGATATTATTTAGTTCGTCCAATTTTACATTTGTGATTAGTCAATCGCGAGACCATTCTTTTATGCAAATCATAAAACATCTATTCTTAATTACTTTGTTTTTAAGCTTCTTTTTTAAAATTGACGTAATGAGTCGCACACACTGATAAAGTAAATAGATGTTTATCGCGTATAGTAGTGAAAAAGAACTGCAAAAACACAGAAAAAATACACGGCAAACGACCGCCTCGTATTTCTGGAGAAAAGACAAGACAGAAATAGGGGCTCATGTGGGTTCAGTAACGCGAGGAGTGAGCGAGTAACTGTCGGGCTTCGGTCGTAGATTAAATAATAATACTATGTCTTGGGTGCCGTGTGCCTTGAAGGTGGCTCCGTCCATTTTTCACGAGTGTCGTTTTATAGCGATGCCGATGGGATACAGCGTGCTGACAATAAAAATGTCTGCGCCATTTGGCGACTGCTGACTGAGCCAGACATCTCGACGCCCGCGCCCGCCGCCGTGCGCCTGCGCTCCCGTTCCTGCGCTTTACACATACATAAACTCTTATAAGTACCTAAGTACGTTTAGTTGTGTGCGCAGTAAAATTAATTACATACTTTTTGTAGTCTTGCTATTTTTTACTTGAAAAGTATTAAACATAACGATCAGTCTTGTAGAATATCCTTTCACTGATAATTTAGAAAACGATGCTAAAGTTATAAATAAACTCTCAAAAGATATCGATCTGACAGGATAAGATTCATGAGTGTCAGCAGATAGATGCATTGAGTGCACTTGAAAAACGTACTGAGATCGTGCAATACGGACAAAGTGTATCTTTTAAAAGGTTTGCAGATACGAGAATTACTGAAAAGAAAGAAAGTTATAAAAACAAACGAGACAGTGCTGATGATACAAGAAACGTGCCAGCAAGATACATCTGTGAACTAAATTGCATTTCAAAGAAAAGTATACTTTTCACTCAATAATTTGAGGCGACCTGTCTAAGTGACGCTTGCTCTGATTTAGTCAACGTTTACGAGAAGCAAATTGAACATTTATTTGTTTAACAATGTGGAGCACTCGTTTTTGTTGAGATTATACTGACTTCGGGTTAATGGGTTTATTAGATGAGTGTTTGGAGTTAGTCATGGTGTGATGTCATGTCAGAGACACAGTTTGGCTTCCGCGTGGGACCCCGTCGCCCACAGTGGTCAGCGCTCTCATAAATTACGTGGATTTCGAACTTCAAAGATCGCAGAAGAAATAAAAGTTCACGGCAATCATATACTCATTGTTCAAACATCATAAAAAGTCGTACAATATTTGATAGGTTTCAAGACGTAGGTGTTCATTGGCTTCGTGAATATTAGATGTTATTTTTATAGCGTTATTAACAAATTTGATTAGTTAATCTCGTTTTATATAGCTTGCCAATCTGAGAGAAGTGTGCAACGTACAAAAAATTTTACATTTTTCGCTTAACAAATCTCTCGAGGTTTACAAGCATCAATTTTCTTCACTGACAGATTAAATCTGAAGTCGAAACTGTTGGATTTAGAAACGTGGTGTTTGGCACCAGATCGACTAATGAATCCAACTCAAATATTCTTCTGGAATAACTTAAAAGATCAAATTATACATAATCTAATAAGACTATGATAAATAAATAAATACATTATTCATAAGTCATTTTAACAAAAAGTTACCCGATAATGCACAATAAATAATGTTCTTGAGAACGATAATATTTAAAAAGGAGAAATAGATTAGACAGCAAGAGAAAAAACTTTCCGAAGAAAAGCTAGTATTGTAAATAATGAGTGTAGTCGTATGTTGCACGCGAGTTTCCCCCCACACGTTATACAAGCCGGGAGTGACGACGCGCCTCTTCCAGCTGGCATTGACTTTACCCATGATAAAAATAAACGTGATTTGGCTAATCCTGGATACAATTTAACATGTTTATTTACTGTTACGTATCAATACATATAGCTTAGGAATCGTACGTTCAAAGAATTTGCATTTCTACATTCACTATCTGGCGAAAGTGGATAAAAAAGTGCAAAATGCAGATAAAATGTAAATTTATCGAAAATCCGGTTAATTGCAAGTTAAAAAAAAATATTTTAATTAGTAGATATGATTTTACATTCAGTATTATATTTTGATAGTCCTATTTCACTGTTCCAGAGCAGTGAAGGATCTTTGAAAATTGTTTAACTTCTTTTTGTTTAACACTTTTTGGTTATCAAAGGAAGACACGTTGTTGTCTAATTTCATCTTTATTAACATGTTATCCAGATTCCGGACATTATATCTATTTATCACCATTTTTCTAATTATACATTCGACAAAATAATATTATGTATTTTGTGTCTACAATAGATAAGAATGATAATTTTTGGAGAATGGAAAATCACTACGAAAATAGTAATAATTTTAAAGAAAAAATCTATTAAGTATTTATGCGTGTTGTTTTTTAGAAAAACCTGTAAGTTATCATTTATGTTAGTAACGAAACGTGAGAGTAAGATTGATTTAGTATTTTCGCATCTTTATGTATTTTACATTCGCAACGTGTTTTATTTCTGGACGGACAGTAAAACATAAAGTAACAAAATTTAAAATGCAATTGATAGGCGCTAAAGATATAAAACAAGAATTTAATTAGCCAATAAAACGGTACTATTAAACGTTTAACGTAAATGTTGTAAACAATAGAAAACAATTGTTGAAGCCATTGTTAGTTCGAATTTCAACAACATCTTAATACACGGAAAAATACTGAATCATTTGAGTTGAGATCGGAGAAAGTACGTTAGATGTAAAAATATATTCAAACGAAGTGATCGACGCAAGTAATATGTGAATACATTAATTATAATGTAGAATGGGGTTTTAGACTTAGCATGTTTACTTTAGACAATGTTGTTGTGTATAAATACTTACTGACATAGAAGCTATACTTGCAATAATGTGCTTCTGTCTAAAGCCAATAGTCTTGTGTAAATGCGGTCAAGTAATTATTGTTTTCCCTCGGCCGCTTGCGCGGGAAAGTAAGGCACGCTGTTTTCTTCCTACATTGATAACATTTTCTTCAAGTCCCACAAATAAATTCTTATATTTATTGTTCCCATAAATACAAAGCTGAATGTTAATTGTTGAACCAGCTTTATAGTATCATCACAAAATGAGGTCGCCGCGACCAACTTTATAGGTCGAAGTCATAAAAAAATCGATGCATTTTAAAACGTTATGTTCGCAGGAAACTTCTATGCGTCGGAAATCGTGTCAGCCCTGGAATATCTCCATGCCAGGAATATAGTTTATCGAGACTTGAAACCAGAAAACCTACTTCTTGCCAGAGATGGACATTTGAAGATAACAGATTTTGGTTTTGCGAAGAAATTAACAGATAGAACTTGGACCCTGTGCGGTACGCCCGAGTATCTAGCGCCAGAAATCATACAAAGCAAAGGACACAACAAAGCCGTTGATTGGTGGGCCTTGGGTGAGTACATGCAGACCCTTTTTTACCCTAATAACGCTATTATTTTTTGTGAATCACGGAAATCATTATATTTCCCAACAGAATTGCCTTTCTGTAAACAAATATACTTAGTATAGTTCGTCATAAATGTCATTGCGGTAACATGATGCAAAAACGGGCCCTAGTCACGCTATCAAACTCTTTGTGTTCGAGGAAAACCTTTATTACTTATTAATAACAATATTTATGTTCCAACTGTGCTACAATTTTGAATTTATAATTGCCAAGAACATTTTTAATACAGTTTACTGAATAAATATGTTAATTTTATTTTTCAATATTATTATTAATATTATATATTTGACATTTTATATTAAAGACATATGAATTGTATTCACTCTTGTTTTTAGCTTTTATTGACATATTAATTTTATTAATTAACATGCACATTTCATATATGTAATTGACTAAAGACGGAATGGACATGATGGTTCTTGGGCTTGTTGTGGCTGCGTGTATGACGGTCAATTATAATAAACTTAATTTGTTTAACATTGCTTGTGTGACATTGATAATTGATGATTACCTTTTTGCATAATATATTTAATTTGACATTACATTTTTGACTTCAATGGTATTAATAATTTTAATTTATTTGACATACTGTATTCAATTTAACAAAACTACAATTAATTAAACTTAATGTACCTAATTTTATTATATAAATTTTTTATAACATATCTTTGCATGCCAAGTGATGGCAAAATATGGAGAAACTGTATATTTTGTTAATACCTATATTATGTACCCATATTTGCAAACGATTAAATGAATTTGAAATGAATTTGAAATTTGAATTTGAAAATAGATAACTCTCACGGACTTGTCGTGATACGAATTTTATCTTCCATTGTTTCACTACCGTATTTTGGAAAGTCACAATCTTTAACAATGTCTTTAATTAAAAGACAACTAAGTAGTAACTTGTGTGTAGTGTATAATTTTGTTTGAGCAAGATGACACGGAAGCTGAAGAATTAATCTTAGGGCTCATAATTTAAATAATTAAGTTTAATATTTGTCTCTAATTGACATTGATGGGTCTAATGTAATTTGTCGAGCATTTCATTTATATGTGCGCGTACGCTGGCAGGTAGCTTTAAATTTATTTGTATGTTCTCTTCGATCTTGTTTTGCGTCTCATAAAGTGTCTCTCGACATATTGTTATTATTTGTTTATTTATTTTATAAGCAGTCCGAACATACAATGCATGTAGTGTAATGTTTACGAGTACACTATTATTTAGTATTCCGTTGATTTACAGATGCCTTTCATTTTGGGTATACCGCTCGATCCTTGCCAATTTATGTACTATGTACTTCATTATTTATAATGGCACACGTTGCTTGTATCTCGTCGCTCCCGTGCTTGGCATCATACGCCATTACATTATAACAATAATACTAAATATACTCTCCCCCTTGCGAGTGCTCCCACAATTTTCCAATATCAAGTTACTGTAGTCTAAACATATCGCTGCAAGAATGAAATTAGTTCACTCATTGTACGTCTTCTATTTTAATGTAAGTGCTAATATTTTCAACGCTAATTACTGAAGTCGTTTAGTTTCTAGCACAAAATTTCATATTTTCTGCGACATATGTCTTGTTAAAATATTATTAATTGTCCATTAAACGCCGTAATTTGCTTTATTAATTGGTAATTTTATTTGATACTCTAGTAGCTGCGGTTTCACCTGAGTGCTGTTTTCTAAAATTCGTAGGTGATCTTATGTTGTAGGTATAGGTCTATCTAGTATAAACCTGTACAACATAGGTACAAAGCCTCTTCAGAAATACGAAAATACGGGATAATAAAATGCGAAACAACTTGTTCTAATTGATGCTGATAGTTTTACATGTAAGTTTGTAATGAAAACAAACAAACAATTTTAATTGGCTGATATAAGGACAGATATTGTTACGCGAAATTGACAACCAATAGCTTTGGCAAACATATCCTAAATAAGTAATAAATGCTATGACTGTATAATTAAATTACCCATTAATTAACCTTGACATTAATCTGTGTTTGAAAATTGATTTTACGACTATCGCACATCGTTATAATTAATTTCGGAAGTATAAATATCAGTTTAAAATAGTACCTAATTATAATGTTGATATTATTATATTATTAATAGCATAGTAAGCTACTGCCAGCGAATAAAAAGGAGTTCGTCTTTTATTTCAAACCTTAATTTATTATTGTAGTTCAGTATTAATATGAAATGCGAATGCACAAACTTTTATATTATCTATGTAGGATATAGGTAGTATCTAGATACTACATAATTATATTAATTATTTTTTAATCCTAGGATTAGGAAGAAAAAATTAATAAATTATTTGAGTGACTGCATCGTTGGCCGAGTGGTCGCAATTGCCACTGCCGGGCAAGGGGTCTCGGGTTCGATTCCCGGGTCGGGCAAAGTACCTATTACTGGGCTTTTTCAAAAAATCTCAGTAGTAGCACGGAGTCTGGAATTGTGCTCAGTATATGGCAATAGACTCACCCCCTATTACATGGGACTCATAACATAAATAGTGGAAAGTGGGTGTTACATTGTACAGTGGCATTAAGTGCCGTAATGTACACCTCTGCCTACTCCTACTCCTGCTGCCTACTCCCTTCGGAGATAAAAGGCGTGATGTTATATATGTTATTTGAGTAACATTATTTTAAAGTTTATTTGTATTATATTGTATTTTCAGGCGTGCTGATCTACGAAATGTTAGTAGGGTACCCACCGTTTTATGATGACAATCCATTTGGTATATACGAGAAGATCCTGAATGGTCGTGTGGAGTGGCCTCGGCACCTGGACCCTGTCGCCAAGGACATCATCAAGAAACTACTCGTACAAGACAGGACTAAGAGGCTGGGAAATATGAAGGTAATTATACAAAAACTGTCTTATTTTTGACACATTTCCCACCGCTTTTGACCCACAAGTACAAGATAAAAAGTTCTATCTTATAGCCCAAAACATAGAGTAACTGTTTGTTAAATTTCATCATAATATGCTAAGCTGTTTAGGAGCTGTTGGGGAGATTGAGTGATACACTAGCCACGTTAAAAATTATTTAGCTGCCTATCTTTTAAGATGCCTCTCTGTTTGTGACAGCCCTGGATTTGTAAAATTTTGCAAGTCAATGTAAAAGCCGTTGCATAACAATAACAGCTGCATCGGATATAAGTTTTATTAGAAAAACAGTTTAATCTTCTGATAAGTATTCTTTTAAAAAGTTTTCTTCGAGGAAAATCCCCAAATGCACTGTTTTATTTAGATTTTTCATTGAAAGCAGTTTTATTGCTTGTATATTATGTGCTACAACTTGTGTCACGCGCATGCGCACGTGGGCCTACGTTATTCAAAATTAATTACCACTTACAATGTTTTGTTTACTTGCCAAATTGAAATACTTGCATTTTCTTTCAAAATTACCTAAGATTTACGATTTCGTTTTACTAGTGGAAGCGATTTCGTTTTATTTAATTAGTTTTATACTAAGGACTAAAATAACGACGCTTAGGTAGTAACGCAACTAACTTTGAGTTGTAAATTCGATATGAATTATACGGACATGTAGCTACACGTTATAAGTATAGGATGTCCCGTAGTTATAGAATGCGAAGGAAGAGTATGTACTCATAAAATTACGGAAAAGTTAAATCAAACAGTGCCTTTAAGGTATTTAAATGTATATATTAAAATGAAATAATATCCGTTAAACATATGCTTTCTATAATGATGCGTTGAACCTTTACTTCCATTAATTTCTCTTTTTATTGATTTACTTATTTATTCATTTCTGTCATACATACTGTATATATACTTATTCTTCATTATTGAAGGAATAAATACATCCGAGTATAAACTGCAGTTTCTGCTCTGTTATGAAGACACGGTTCGGTTGTGTTTTACGCTTACGCAAACTGAAAATACTTTAGCCTTGCGCTTGACCTGTTTCGGCAACAGTTTTGGATTATATACGACTCACCACACCACATGTCAAACATAGCATCGCGTGGGCCACACGTTTATTGTTTTAACTCAGACAACACAACATAATAAGGTCCCTAAATATCGCCAACATCTCCTGTTAACGAAAAATGAACTTTAATTAATAAAAAAACTATTTTCACAATTCAGAATAGCAATTCGGTATTCTTCTTTTAAAATTCTTTTCTTCGATGCTCTGCAAACCGAGTGGATTGTGTCCAAAAAGAAAATTTATTTCACTTTGAGGTTGGAGTTCGGCCAACCTCCTTCCATATTTATCACTTAATCTAAGTCTTGATACTTTTAATGCTAAAAGATTTTTAATTTACCCAACTGTTTAGATGTAGGTAATGATACGTTTTCCCCAACTGACTGTGATCTCAGTCAGTTCAGATCAGTTGCTACTGCAAACGACTGCTAAAATAAGATTTGGAAAAATAGTACAGAAGGCTTAGGTTGATTTGAAAAAAAATCTGAATTCATTACTTAAGCAATTTAATAAACATAAGAGAAATAAATTACATATTGCCCAGTCAATTTCAACAAGCCAATTTTACTAAATTGATTTCTAAATAGACCATATTGATTGCTTGCCATTGAATTTATGTAATAACAATGTACTGTCTAATAAACCGCTGTCTAAGCTTACCCAGCAATCTGTATAATATAATAAAGTAATTGCTCCGATTGATCTGGACTTCACGGGTAACTACATAATGATAGTATGAAGCTACACAAAGTACACTATACGCTAGACAAAGCTATCCGGTAGTGTGCAGACTGTCAGATAGAAAGTCGTATGTTATTATCTTTATTGTACACTTGGCTACGTTATAAATATCCTTGGTCGGGCGAGCCTATGTGGTCATGGCTAAAGCTAGAAATCGGGATGCGACGTTCCCAATAAAGTGTCGCACTATCACGGTGAGAATGTATTTTTAAACGACTGCAGTTAGTGGTTGGTTGTTTTCACCGAGCTTTTTGCCGCGATGTCGCTGAGATGTTTAGAAAGCCATCAGTCAGGTGTCTGCCGGTCACTTCAAAAGCCGCGCGTCGCCGCTGACTTATGTCGCGACGCAAATACGACACATTGCGATGTAGTCCCGATGCGTTAGAAAACTGGGTGCCTTGTTAGCCGTTATGACTTGCGCAAACTCTGTCGGTTTTCATACGCAAATATTGTGGAAATTTTGTCTCGTACCCTGTTTTCACGTCTTATGTAACGAATTATCACATCATATAATGCATTTCTCATATAATGTTGTTAATTTTGCTGATATGTCCAGTAGTGTTTGCCAGTATAAGTATTCTATAAGATACCACGTTTGTGGCGCATGGTCAGTAATGGAATTTTAGTATTATCGACATGTGTTCAGGAAACGTCAAGACAGACAAACGCGAATGTCTTTGATTTATAATATCGTTGCCCGACAACAGCACCGATAATAGCAGTACAGCGTCTACTGAAACAGTAATAACACTCATTACAATAGCTACGTAATATGAAAGTAGTGGAAAGTGGGAGCTTTCCATCAATATACGATATTACTTTGCAGTAATACAATGAGAATGTCGGTGGCTTAGAGGAGTTATGGGACAATTCCCGTTGGACTAGGATTATATTGAAACGAGTGGCCCGCTTGGCATCGTCGTACAATAATAAATTAAGCTGCGATATGCTCCGCTAACTCTAAATCTGAAAATTTACGATGTCTAACCGTTGAAGAACGTCGCGAACGCCAATAATAACAAAGTTGCTCTAATTCTGGCCACCCACAAATGCGCATTATGGTCGTAGTCAATATCGCTGCTATGATTGATTGATATTTCAGTGACACTTATTGTGTACATTTCTGTAATTCAGTCGTTGACTTGTTCAGTGATCTTTGTATATTTGTTCTTAATATTGTAATGTTTGTTTCATTTCAGTGTGGAACCGAAGACGTCAAGCGGCACAGATGGTTCAAACACATAGATTGGGCTGACGTCTTCATGAAGAAACTTCAGGTAATTAGCCTTTAATGCATACTTTGTTTATGTTCCCACGATACCAACAGATCCATATCGGATCTATAAAGTTTGATATTGCCAACTGGTTACATACGATTATAAGTATTATTTAACAGTTCATTATACGTAATACCATAATAATATATCGAAGCACGATTTAAGAACTGATTTAAATTAGGTCGAGAGGCCGACAGAGATTCACGAAGTTTACGTTACCTAATTTCAATACTTTACGTTAATACTGCTTAAATGCTTATTTATGGTCCATTAAGGATATTGTGCAGAAAACAGTGCTAAATAAAAGGCTCATTATTGTTTTTATAGTTATTTAACTGTGTGTTGTGTTGTCTACAGCCTCCCATAATCCCGGCTGTGTCGTACGAGGGCGACACCTCCAACTTCGACGAGTACCCCGAACAGACTGGAAGGCCGTGCGCTCATTAGACTCCGACGAACTCAAACTGTTCGCCAACTTTTGATGGCCCAAATGTACGTCGTCGGTGGGTTAACTTATAGGTAAATATCGCGATAAATGCGAGGAGACCAGGCCTAGTAATATTTATGAAACTGCTTAGAAAAGTAATTTTTCATATTATATTTAACATCTTAAGTTAAGTGTAGATATCGTTGTTAGTTAATGAGGCCAAGAGCGGCGTTGTGTTTGCAGAGTCGATAGGAAACCGTCCGTATTTGAGTAGAGTAGAGTGAATATGTATTATGAATAACCTATTTGATTGTATAATTGTGTAAAGCCGACGACTGGCTGGAGCCAAGTGGTCCAAAAATTCCTGACTGTAGGCAAGGGATTAATAACAAAATGAGGAGACTAAACGAGTAGTAAATCACGGTGAAGAATCATTCCGATGTTGAGTCATGCACTACTTTTCAATGGTAAACCGAAAATTGGAGCAGCAGATAGATCGACCATAATGTTTAGTTAATATTGAAGACATTAATTTATGTAACTTAGTACCTATTCAGGAATTATACCTAGGTATATGGAGACATGCAAAATGATTGATGTCTGTTCATTTCTAATTTATAAAACGTGTTTATGTGGTTTTCGCTATTTCATAGGCAAATTGACTTGCTTCCTATAATTTCTAAAACATATATCGTATTCTGTATACATGATTTGGCTTTGGTCAGTCCGATATCGTTAAATATTTCCTGTGTGCGCATTTATGGGGGGCGACTTATGTAAGTAGTTCGTGGAGTTTACGTATCTATTGAATCATTGTAATAAGGACTTGTTTCATAATGTCTGATTGTTGTCGTTAACTTTAACTGGCACACATTTTGTTAGTATTTACTAAATTAGACATTGTGACACAGGCCGTAAGGCACATTTTCATCCTTTCTCTAGTTCTCGTGTATGTACACCTGTATCCATGTAATGTACATGCCTCAGTAAGTCTATATAGAGGCTTAATTAGTAAAATGTAAATATTTATTTGTAAGTATATGCATTACATTTCCAATGCTTTCTAGTTCAAATGTTAGTGTTAGGAATTAAATTAAGTCGCCATTATTGGCAAATAATGTTTGTGATTTTGTATGTCATAGTATTTCCCCTTAACTTTATGTTTAGAAATAAATATAACGTCATTATTATTTGAATATTCGATATTTTTCTCGAGTACATTGTTTGACGAGTCTTGTAGCGCCATCTAGGAGTGAGGTTTGAAACCTTTTTATTATTAATGTAATTAATCGATTTATGCGTTATTTATAAGTTAAATCTGACAATTTGCTTAATTCCTTTTTTGCTTAAATGCTACTAAAGAAGATCTCACACAATATTTACATTATAAAGGAAAACAAAAGCATGAAATGTCACTTGTAGTATTAAATTAACTACTATTATTGTCACGTTACTGTAATATCAGGCCATACAGTATTTTCTGTGATCTTTTTAGTCTTGACAAAGATAAATTAATAACGTTTGTTCACTGTGAAACAATTGTGTCATAGAATCAATGCAGCCAGTAATTACAAATAATGGAAATGTTACTCACCAGATCCAACTGTGGGGGACAAGGAAAATTGGAGGCTTTTGACCTTAGAATAAAGTTGATAACAGAATCATCTTACTTACTATAACGGACTGGGACAACCAACACAGATTATAAGAAATTGTGGTTACAATAGTTATTGACCACAATGCGACTACACCGCCATCTATAAAATGGGTTACTAGTTTCTAAATAACTGCACTTAGAAATAAGATTCATCATTTGTATCAAAAGTGGAACAAATCGTTTTAACCATACTTGGATCTGGATAGTAAATTATATTTAAAAATATATTTATGTAACAGGGTTGTAGATAACATGTATAATTGTAAATACACAAAAATAAATGTGTTGTCTAAACATATGTGTGTTTGATTTCAATAGTTTTTTATTATGTCACCATTTGTAAATCTCCTATGCAAAATTGCTGCGTATTTGGTGAACAGATAGGTCATACTTTCATCAATTTAGAATATTTTTTATGACCAAGTACGTAGTGGCAAAGAGGAGTCATGGAAAGGGTGGCTCAAAAACAAGCCAAAAACCGAGAAATAATCGTCAGTAAAACAAAAAGTATTTACCGAGACAATAGTATTAGTTTACATATATTTTAGAACAATTACAATTTTGTTTACAACGCGATGGTTCCTGAATGACTGAGTGTCTACCGAAAATACAATGTCTACAGAGAGACATAAAAAATTATTACGTGTAAACATTGTCGGGATCTTGATTATTGCTTTACTATCTGTAGCGAGCCAACAAACTCTCTCCGAAATAGAAACTATTAATAATTGAAATGAAAAACAAACTGAATCTAACGAAATAGAAATGAGCTGCACATTGTGCAAAGAGCTTTAGAGAATGACATCACGCCTATTTTAAATATAGAGTAGACAGAAGCATGCTCCTATTCAATTTCTGCCAGCTGTTCAGTTATTCTACCCTGCTTTTTTGTGTTTTTTTAAAACGTTGCCCCACACTAGGTTTTTTTCCTGTGTCGTGGGTGCGTTTACAAACATACAAGTTCACATACACATGACACTCAGACCCAAAACAACAATCTGCGAATCGAACAAATAGTTGTTCTGTGCGGGATCGGACCCGCGACATGTTGCGCGGCAGCCCTGCCATCGTGCCAAGCGTGCATCCAAGTTTTTGTAAACCTTTTGCCATGGCAACTACCCATAATACTCAACATAGGTTTTTTTGTATCTTATCAATATATATTTGCAATACTAAATTAACTAAAGATCGAACTTAAAGGCGATCTCGAGCCTACTGGCTAACGTTGGCGCTTGCGTCGGTGTTGTTACTTGCGTGTAATAACACCCGTGGCTCGAAACTAGTAGACCTTTTCTCAGTATATCACGTGAGTAACCCGCAATTTTAAGTTAATTTAGTATGTCTCACGATATTTGAAGAAGAAGATAACTGGCAAAAAACGTGTTTGTATCTTAACAATAAATATGTTCTAAGACTTGCTTCAGATCTACATTGAGTTTTATTGCAAAACGAATCAAGTGGTATGAGTACACACTGTTTAAACAACATAAAGCAGTTCTATTTACAATAGGTAGTCGATCTATCATCTAGGCGCAGGTGACACGAACGCTAATCTTATCAAATTGATATCTTGAGACGTCTACGTCGTCTTATACTGTGTACCTTATGTACTGTCTACGGTATATACTAAATATACATTAACTCATGCATTATCTCATTTGGCAGAAACATTTGGCCTATCTGAAAGTCATTGAGGCCTATGTTCAGTAACGTCTTATGGCTGATATGATGATAGATAGCATACTTATGAAGTTTTTAAATTCCTATCATCAACAACCTGCAATGCCTGCTATGCTGGACTCCTCTGGATAGTAAGAGGATTTGCTATAATCTCCATTCAGCTGTTCAGGGTTGGTGATCATTGTTAAAGGGCTTCAGGTTGATCAGAGTGCGCTGCAGTCTTAAGTGTTATTCGACTATCCCTTAGTTGACTTTTACGAGAGGAGTAGAAGATTTCGTTGGTTTCATAATATTCATACATACTTAGTGGCTACATCCAGCTAGTAACTCCTTCGGTGATTGTGATTCCAATAGCCAAAAGCATTTATTCATATTATATCATATACCATGGTTGAGTGGTATCAAGTGATGCTCTAGGTAGACAAATAGGTCTACATAGGGAGGTGCTGCAACAGGACCTACTAAGAGGACCAGGTGCGGATGGTGGCCACCGGGGAGGTTTTAGTGAGGTAAAAATCTCAGACTCCCTAGTCTTTTTCCTCCAAAAAGCTAGCCGCCTTTTGAAGGTTTCCCACCGTCAAAAAAAAGGTTGTGTGATGTCAAACTACTTAGCAAAGAGTCTAGTACTATCCCAGACCGGGAAAAGTATAAAAGTGATAAAAACTGAGTTATGTAGGTATTGTAAAAGTTTCAGACCAGTTTTTACAGAAATAACGTTGATTGGTTGTTACATTATTAGGATATCTATGTGTTACCCTTTACATAGAAATGTAAAGGTTTCCAATAAGAACTATAATAATTTCATAGATTCAACTATTCTTAGCAGTTAGTACATTGATTTTTCATCAGGTAATAAAATATTTTCTAATAAAATCCGCGTGTGGCCCGTGACTAGCCGTGTTATTTATGAATCAATAGAGGACATTTGGACTATCACCACTTCATATTATCTATTCATGTAGCTGTACGATATTGAAAGTGATATTTTCTGTATTAACAACCACGATCACCAATAAGTATAATAAGCATTATTACGTAAATGATAACAATCTGTCGTCATGCCGGCAGACAAGGAAATGCGAGTTACCTACTCATAAAGTATCGATGATATTAATCGAATATCGTTTAGAGGACAGCCCCGATACAATCTTTCAGCACAAAGTGAAACTCAAAACCTTTACAATGATCATAAAACCTCACCCTTTGTGAAGTGTGAGGATAAAACCAGTGAGATAGAACTCGAGATTGATAACAACGATTTAGTTATTACAAGCAAGTCTTAATATAAAAATAATGATAAAGGTATAGATTACACGAAGGCGAAGTAGACCTGCGAGCCCGATAATGGTATTGAAGTAACAACTGTAGTACTGCCAGGTGGATTAAATGGTAGATAACTAATCTAATACCATTACAATTATCACACGTTCGATATTTTATCATTGTAGAGTTGTATTAGTTCTTTGTGAGATAGGACGTTTCTGGGCAAAATGTCTGTGAGGCCGCTGACTCCTGCTTTAGAGAAGAAGGCTCGTGAGGAGTTGAATGAGGATCCGAAGAGGCTAAAGGATGACCTGCAGAGTATCAAGGACTGGTTGGCGAAGCAGCCACACTTGAAGGCTAGGACAGGTGAGTTTTGTTACTATTACGTAGTATTACGACGTAAGATGTTGATAAACAATTGATTTATCTATCATAGACATTCATTCGTTTACTTATAATGTCGTTCTAGTATAATACTCTTTAATTTGTGCATGTAGAAGTGACTCTAAACATTTATTTTGTCGCGGAGAACCTAACGGGTAACCGGGGCTCCGGCTCGACGTGCAGGAGAAGGAACGGGGTGGTTTTTAGTCAGTAAGAGTCTGAAACTCCCTCCCGCCTCACCTAGGCGGGAGCAGTCATTCGATGATTGTCCCCCCGAAAAAAAAACATTTATTTTGATTTGATAACATTATAATAATGTCAGGCATAAGTGACATTAATAGTTATGCACCAATCTACAAAGGGAAGTAGGTACCTACTATACTAATTTTCAATTGTTAATAAATTGAAGTCGAAAGTTAGCTTGGTTAAACTTGGTTTTAAGTTACTGTACCTGCACCCATCTATGACTTAGCTTAAGGAATATGTTTGTTACCATAATGATGAATGTTGTAGTACCTAATTGTAAAATAGACTTTGTAATTTAATCCTATAAATATTGGCATACACTATTGCATTAGGTATTAGTTCCTGTTATGATAGTAGTATGTATATAGTTTATAAATAAATAAATAAAAAGTTTCAAGTCTATACCTCCTTTTAATTAAAATCATAAACGTAACCATCGAGTGTACTATTAAAATTAAAGAAAATGGGTATTTCTAAATGTAGTCCTAATATTTGTAGCTTATAACTTAATTAGTAAATTATTAATTTTGATATTGTAGAGAATAACTTTCAATCAATATTACGGGTCGGTTAAAATATAGATAAGCAATCAGGGCCATCAGATATAGTTAAATTTCCTGTAACTGGTTGACGATGACTAACAACTGTTACAGTCATGTTTTTAACATAGAATATAATCAATTAAATATTTGAAGACGTGTCATTTAGTTCTTAAGAAGTAACTGACGAAACTAAAGTGTTACATACTTATTTGCTATTCAAAGATTAGAAGGCGAGAAGCTGTACGTGTACGTCTAAACAAATCTGCCAAACGAAAGTGTATGTATGTATGTTTGTGTTCGCATATCTCGGGAACTACAAGACTGATCTAAGTAGTTTTTTTTGTTTAACTAGGTATTGTTCAACTTAGGGATAGGTACTGAAAATTTCACCGAAATCGGTTGCGTGCTTTTTAAGATAGGGAACTTCTTAACCGATTAAAAAAAGGAGGTTGTAATATTTTCAGAACTACCGAGTTTTCGTATATGTTAGTCTAACCTAACCTAACTAACCTATTTATTATAGCCAATTAGCCACAAATAGTTGGGAGTAACAAAAAAGGACATTACGTAGGCTTTCATGGAAAATTCACATGGGTAAAGCCGCGGGTAAAGGTTTTAGAATAATAAAGCCATAAATGACATTTGATTGCTACCTCTATATTTCTGCCAATAATCCTGACACCGTGGTTTTAAAGATTATAGTTTAGTACAAAGATAAAATAAATGAAATTATGCTTAGAGGTATATCGGTCTTCCACAAGATTGTCCGTCTAATAGAAGTTAAGACAAACAATTAAAATTATTATATTGTGTAACTGCTTAGCCATTGTGAAAGCAGTAGAATGCATTTGTCACACAACTCTTCTCTAACCTGGTTGCTAACAGTGAAGATATACCCGTTTTTTCTGGAGAATACCTATAGCCCACTCTGCCCAGTACTGGATACTGTGGACATAGTCTGCTGGATTTTCGCAAGATACAATGTAGCTTTCATATAGTTTGCCCGTATATTTGTTTGTTTGTGATTAGAATTATACTCCCTTTCTAACGATATTTGGACTCTTAATCATGACCATACAATATGATAATCTATTTTTTTGTAACCATCTACATTATAGATATTATAAGAAAGAATCCCCAACGATCCTCAACTCCTAATCCAAAAGGCCGGTAACGCACTTGTAACGCCTCTGGTGTTCCAAGTGTCCATGAGCGACGCCGATTGCTTACCATCAGGTGTTTTGCGTACCATCCGTCTGCTCGTTTACCGGCTTATGCCATAAAAAAAGGGCTTGATCGATAGACTGGAGCTTATTAATACCGTTTAACATAAAAATTACCTATGTATTACTTGTTATTGCGACTTTCTATTATAGAACATTTTGTAAAATATAAATGTACCTAGGTACACATATATTTTTTGTTGTTCTCTATTTTGATTAAATTGTGGCTGAAATGAAACAACAATGAGTATTTAAATGCCTACACGTTATTTGCACAGCCATGAGGCGTGACGAACTATTCCAATGCCTATTCCAAGTTTGAATTAATCTGATTAATAAATAAGATAAACACAGTACACGAATCTATAATACACGGATTTATGAACATAATATTATGTACGCATAAAATTACATTGCTATATTTTAGAAGATACTGATTTCTATACTTTAGTTGGCTTTTAGGATAGGGACGATTTCTCTCTAGGCAGAGATTTATTTATTTATTTCAATTAAATAGTATAACATTACAGTCATAAAACCAAGGCATTATACATTTCAAATAATTATAAAAAGCAAAAAAAAAACCAAACAAAACAGAAAAGAACATGAGATGTACTTTGTTTCACCAGGACCCACCGCATTCATACGGAAGCCTGACTGAAAATCGAATTGAAAGTTACCCACCCCGGTTTTCTATAAAGCCGTAATATCATTCATTAGAGCATGGCTCACCCACGTGAAAATTGTTTAATAACAGCATTCTAATTTTCGATAATGTTAAAATTTCAGATGACCAATGGCTTGTGGCGTTCCTCCGTGGTTGCAAGTTCAGTTTGGAGAGGACGAAAGAGAAGTTGGACCTCTACTACTCTATCCGCACCACGGCACCTGAACTCTTCCGCATTAGGCACTCAGACCCTATCTTTGAAGAAATTCTCAAAATGGGGTAAGATCATTGTAGCATTATACGATATTTCCGATCCGATACAACCTTTAAACCTTCAAAAGTTTCTCCTTTGAAAACGGCGGCAACATACTTAGAAATTTTATGGTATTATGGGTTATGGGTTTATGGGTCGCTTACCGCCAGGTAATCAGAAAACTCGTTTGATTGCTTGTCCCAAAAAAACGCAGTACCACAGAATAATTTGAAAGCATTAATTTAAAAAAAAATTGACACGTAAGTAGTTTACCGGTACTACTATTATTACAGCTAAGAATAATTTGTATTTCCAGAGTGTTCATCATACTACCTAAGGCCCCGGGTCCCGATGCGCCACAGACCTCAATAATCAGACCAGCACTGTACGACCCCAATAAGTACAATATCTTAGAAATTATGTCTGCTACCAACGTTTTGATGAGGGTGAGTTTATTGCTCTACTCCTATTTGTGAGTCTTCAGAACTAGAATAGTCATTTCGAGTTTTTCTTAGCATTATGGCACGTGTTGAATATATTCATGTCATGTCCACGATTGTTCACCATCGGTGATCTGTTTGGTCGTTTGTAACTCTTCTATCTTCGGTCAGGAACGATCCTTTAAAATAAAAATTTAATGTATCTTTATTTCAGATTCTCTTAATGGAGGATGACAACGCCACAGTGGCTGGTGGCCAGAGCATCTTAGATTTAGAGGGAGTGACGATGGCACACTTCATGCAGATGACACCAGTTACCATGAAGAAGATGGTGGTCTTAGGACAGGTATATTGACTTATTAATATTTTCTTAAAAAGTAATAGTGTTCTTATCTTTCTTCTATATCTTCTATCCTATACTTATTATACTCTTTGACTTAGACTAAAAACATGACAATGGTCATGACACGACTGACATCCACCCTCACATACTTGTCATTATTGGGCATTACTAGCTAGGCTAACAATATTTTTTAGTTCGCAAAAAGGCCGTTGTTAACCAGGGACTATCCTTAATTTAATTATGTAAATTACTAATGTTATCTGCCTAAATCTGTTTGAAAATACTTTTCAGGATGCATCGCCCATGCGTATGAAAGGAACACACTACCTGAACACACCGCCAGGGTTTGAAACCGTGTTCAACGTAATGAAGGGGTTGTTGAATGAAAAAAATAAAAACAGAGTAAGTATTTTGCTTCCTTTAAAGTCATTCAGGCTCGAGACAAACAAATATAGATCTTACAATAAACAAATTATGTTATGATATCCTCTGCAGGAGACTAACGACACGTTTCGTTGTAGTTAATAGCTCAGTAACCGTGTTAGAGTTATTAGAAAGCTTTGTTTTAATTGTCTAGTACTAGTAGCTACAAGGAATTTCTGAGATTCAGGGTAGATAGATAACAAATAACAGCTAAAACATTTTTACAGTGTTTTTAAAAATGAATCTATTAAGCCAAGGGTACACTAGAGGATCAATGTCTTTGGACACGTGTCGCCAGCGACGTTGGGTGAAATAGTGCGACGTTGATAGACTTTAGTCGACATGCCTGGCAGCATCAACGTCGCAGTGGACATAAGTCGCGCGTTGTCGCCATAATATGTCGGGCGAAGTCTTCCGGCTTTGTTTGATATGTCGTGGGACATTTGTATCCTTGGCTTTATTGCTATGTTCGAAATTTGTTGCAAAAATAATAGGTACCAACAACGTGTGCATAAAAATATTTAGAAGTGATTACCATATTACGTCAATGCTTAAACAAAAATAGACGGATAGAGGTTGATTTAGGATTATTACCTTTTTGCAGTTGTTCGTCCATAATAAGAACTATGACGCACTCTACAAATACATTCCTAAAGACGTGTTGCCAGCTGAATATGGTGGAAATGGCGGCACTATTGCATCAATTACAGGTAAATATTAAAAAAAATCACAAAACAGTTGTTGCCAATTAAACTTCTTTTTTGTTTCGTGTAGTAAAAGCTGTTACCGATATACTAGGCACAATTTCAGGCTCCGTTACTACTAAAATACATTAGCGCAGATGGTACATGTAGTTTGTTCGTTTTTTTATTGATTCACACTTAACCATGAAAGGTCATTAATTGATATATTAGACCGTCATTTATGAAGCAAAGCTACGGGCAAAAATTCTACCTAAAATAATATATTTAAGTCCTTTGATCATAAACTAAAACAATCGTAATATTATAGAAGTCATTTTTATTCTTGTAGGTGTAGGTATATGGTACCTACTTATTTATTTACATACCTAAGGAGGTTAGTCATATGAATTTAAAAATTAAATCATTCATTTTGGGTCTGGTTCACTTCTTTTATTATTCGTAATATTAAATTATCATATTTAACGTCATTATGAAGTCTGATTATTTAGGTATAAGTGGTGTTTCAATTTTGAATACGTGGACAATTTTATGTATGTAATAATTACACTATATATAATGAGCCAAAATTTTTGTTAAAAATTAAGAGTTTGTTAACTGTATTTTTATTTCAGATTACTGGAGGAATAAGGTGAAGGAATACAGTTCTTGGCTAGACGAAGATAACCAGTACTGCAGCGATGAGTCAAAGCGACCAGGCAAGCCGAAGACTGCGGAAGATATGTTCGGTCTCGAGGGCTCATTCAGACAACTCCAAGTGGATTGAAAACTATATTTTTCTACTTTTTCTACAATACTTATTAAATAAATTTTTATTTTTCAATAATGCTGTTTCATTTTCTTTTTCGTCCCTGTACAAATTACACCGTAAATCTGGTTAATGTTTAAGTTAGAACTGGCCAAGTGCTGTTTGCACCCTGAAGGTAGTTTTGATTAATCAATACAAAGGGATGAAATTCGTCTACGTATATTCGGAACGAATACTGCATTAATGCATGAAAGTATCTTTCACATGGCTCCAGCTATCTATAATAAATTATCAAAAGAGCTAAAACAAACTAATATATATAAATTTTAATCTTTAAAACAATTACTGTGTCAAAAATGCTAATATAGTGTCTCAGTTTTATTATTGGCAAATTTTAATTTTGTTTATTTGTTGACTTATAGCTTTAACGTATTGACTACAATAATCCATTAATTGCCTACTCATTGACATCAATTTATTATGACTTATTAAACTTATTATGCACTATGTATCTTCCGCATCTGACTTTTTGACGAACAATATTGACATATAATTCATTAAAAAACGACAAATTCATATTTACTTACCTAACTGATTAATTGATTTATTGATTTAAACTCTTAAACGAATATTTGTTTGCCTAAATAGCGCTGCTGATCATAGCGCACTTTAATTTAAAAATGACCAACCAAATGTACCTACGTATCACAAAAAAAGGTTTCATTTCATTTTATTTCATTTCATTTCATACAGTCAACCTATCTTTACCTAGGTAGTCATTCTGGAGCATACCATACATATACAATGACACACTAAACTCCTTTACTACTGTTTAATATCATAGTAATTTATTAATTCCTGAATCCCCAATGATCCTCAAACTCCTAATCCCCAAAAGGCCGGTAACGAACTTGTAACGCCTCTGGTGTTCCAGGTGTGCATGGGCGACGCCGATTGCTTACCATCAGGTGATCCGTTGGCTCGTTTACCGGCTTATGCCATAAAAAAAATAGTAGTTACTACTAGTTACCAAGTTTCTGTCACTTCGCTCTTGATAGAGTGGTCGTGGTGATGTTGAGGTGTCCATATTAGAAGTAAAGGCAAATAGCCTCCTCCTTCTCCACAATCCATGTCTTCCTGTGTGCAGACTGTCTGGTGCAACCTGACACGTGGTTTCCTGGTGTTGAAAATTAGTATGTAGTACAATCATCATCATCATCAACTGCCTATAAATGCCCACTCCTGAGCAAAGCCTCTTCTCACATGGAGAAGGTTTGAGCATTAATCACCACGCTTGCTCAATGCGGGTTGGCGATTTGCAAACTTATAATTAGAAATTGGGTTTATCCTAGGTTTTCTTACGATGTTTTCCTTCACCGTTTGTCAGTGGTGCCTGAATAATCTTAGGAAATACATAAAACTCGGAAAAAGTCACATTGGTACTTACCGTTGGTAGGTTTCGAACCCGCACCCTCATGCATGAGAAGCGGGCGTCTTAACCTTCGAGCCATCACGACACTTATTCGTACAATAATCATAGAATATATATATTTTTGAAAATTATTAGAAGTAGCACGAGATCTGCGTATGTCATCAGATTCGCTTCCATTAAGCGTATTTAATTTTAATTTATTGAAACTCAAAACGTAAATGGCGTAAAGAGGGTTTTATACATGCTTTTGTTATTGCACCTCTATTTACCCTTTGGGAAATAATCGGCGTGATAATATTGTTTCTAAGATTAAATAAGAGATTAACGGATTAATATTGTGTATCTATGATAAATAACCAAATTGGGAGAACAATGTCATGAGATAATATTATACCCTTATTAAAAAAAGATATAAAGTTTCAAAGTCATTTAATTATAGATAACAATTAAAAAAACGTGAGTACGTGGATCGAGCTAGGCACAAAAGTGTTAATTTTTTTTATGGGACAAGCAATCGGCCTCGCCCATGGACACCTGGAATACCGGAGGCGATACAAGTGCGTTACCAGCCTTTTAGGGATCCGGAATTAGGATAGTTGGCGATTCAGAGATTGGGGAGATTGGGGAACGAGGAGGGGGTAATTGGACCTCCAGTAACCTCAATCACACGACAAAACACAACGCCAGCGTTGCTTCACGTCAGTTTTCTGCTCGGCCGTGATATCACTGCGGTCGAGCCACCCCATTCGTTCGGAAGCATGACTCTCCCGCACTTAGGGATATTTCAATATTGCTGTAACGATTTATAGACTTTGAATTCAATTTTGTTTTCGTCTCGCGGCAAAATAACTTGCCATAGGGAGTAGGTACTATCGATGCATAAAGTGAAAATAAAATAATAAAGACGTCGTTCTTTTTATTTTAAAAAAATATTCATCGATTTACGGACATGATGACTAGATGTAAATTTGTTGGCACTATATATTTGCATCGCACGTGCACCCGACGAGAAATAACTCTTCGAGAATTAAATGCCGTGATCTTTTAATAACTAGTTCGTATGCGTTTTCGAAGTTCCGGTTGCACGTGTGTCGCGATGGCTGGGCAACTGGCTGCCAAGCAACGTGTCGTGGGTTCGATTCCCGCACGGAACAATCCTTTGTATGATCCATAAATTGTTGTTTCTGGTCTGGGTGTCATGTGTATGTGAACTTGTATGATTGTAAACGCACCCACCACACAGGAGAAAATCCTAGTGTGGGGCAAAGTTTAATAAAAAAAAGGTGGTATTTTTTGCAATGGTTCACCAGTTATTTTTTGTTTTAAACATTTTATTTCTTTGTAAAACCATTTTATTACCGATACAGAACCATTTTACTTAAGGACTAGGGTATTATGTGTATCTAAATTTTTAAAACTTAGAGGATTAGATGGAAATAACCTCCCGAAACAAATATCTTAAAAAATATTACTTTTTATTTAAAACAATAAAAAGAAGTTAGCACGTACTTAGTTTCCTACATAATGATTTGTTTACAAATAATTACTCGTTTAAATTACCGTTTATTCCAGTAAGTACCTAAATGACTTGATTACTATATCAGGATGAAATATTATTGTGACATTATTCTTGACATTAAACTTTTAATAGCGGCCCAGAAACAGTTTCATATCAATAATATTTCACTTTGATATAGTATACATAAGATTCAAAATCTGTTTTTATGTTTGTTATAAGTATCATGGAAATAAGCATTTTAAAACCGAAAAACCCAACGTTTGATCTGCGCATCGAGCACTTGATGCGATTGTTTGCGGATTTGAATGATTACATATTTTTATTTATGTAGGTATAGACGATAGTGTAATCGTAATCACTTTAGTTTCAAATAAGTATATTTATAATAAAGAACTGTATTGACAGTGGTGACCTATACCTAAAGTTAGGTATCAGTGGACTGTCATGTAAGCGACAGTAAGCGCAGCGCCGAGGGTCATTATCAACATTTTGTTGTGAATATTTATTTTATTTACCTACTACGTCCGCAGTCCGAATCGTAACCAGTCGCTCGTAAGGCGGGAACACATGACAACCTTGATTTGAAAATAAAGAAATAAATGAATTACAATTGTGCTTAGTATTTTGAATATAATTTATCAAAATGCAAGTGCGGCCTCTATCGCTTGCTTTGCAAGAAAAGGCTGCATTAGAATTGTACGAGACGCCGAATAAACTTGAAAATGGATTGAAAGAATTAAAGGAATGGATCAGTCAACAGCCCCACTTGAAAGCTCGAACAGGTAAATTATTTGTAGTTTTGTTATAATTGGGTACTTTTTAATCTATAGTTCATCGAGTTTCAACTTTGGGCAAAATCAGGTTTGTACCGGATTTCAAGTTTGTGGCTTAAATTGGCGTAGCCTTATATTGTAGAGTCATTGCACTTTTTGAAAAATGACAGATACGTGTAGGTATCCGTTTATGTTTGTGCAGAGACTCTACGATAGAGCTTTCAATATTAAAATTCAGGTAAAATACAAAGAAAATGATGTTCTTTATTATAATAAGCATAGATCGCGGCTGCCGGGCAAGGGGTCTCGCGTTCGATTCCCGGGTCGGGCAAAGTATTACTGGGTTTGTAAAAACCTCAGTAGTAGCACGGAGTCCGGTAATGTGCCCGGTATATGCCAATAGGCTCACTCCCTATTACATGGGACTCATAACATAAATAGTGAAAAGTGAGTGTTACATTGTATAGTGGCATTAGGTGCCGTAATGTGCAGTTCTGCCTACCCCTTCGGGGATAAATGGCGTGATGTTATGTTATGTTATTATAATAGGACAGAATTGGTTCACAATACTTAATTGTTGTATAAAGTGTGTATCAATCTATTTATTACTGAGATCAAAATAAAATATGCACTCAGATGCAAACCATTATTATTCCTGTGTTAATTTCCTTCAAGATGCAGATTAAAAAAAATAATCTGATGATTATCATCTGAATTATTTATTTTATTTAGATATAATATCATTATTTTATTTTATCTCACGCAAGCAATTCTTCTTAGTGAGAATACCTAAGGCTTAGTTGAATGAACCTCGCCCCAGTGACCATGAGACAAGATTGTAAGATTTATTTATTGACATATATTTTTTTTTATCTTTTTTTTCCTCCCTATTGTAATGTAAACTTCTTTAATGAAAGTAATTTTATGCAGCGTATTATATTGATAAGTTCTTCTTTAACTACATATTTTTTTTATATGATTACGCCAATAGGAGTTAAGAAAGAAAGAAAGAAAGAAAAATTGTTTATTTGCACACACGTCACAAAGTACAATAATACACAAAAAAAATGTTAAAACAAGAATTAAGAAATTAATTAATTAAGAATAAGGTTGGTGCACGACGAAGTTGATGTTGGTGGATAGAATAATATTCAGCTTTATGTCAGAAACGCAATAGGTACAATCTAGTCAAAATTTTTAATAATAGGTCTATTTAATAATTCTGGTTTAAGAAACGTTTAAAAAACTGACACAACGCCCTCTTTTGTGAACTCGGTTAATTAATATACTTAAATGTAGGTACTCCTAAGTGTAACAAGCACTTTTATGAAAACCGCATCAAAATCGGCTTTGCCAATCGCGAGATAATCGCGCATAAAGTTTGTCCTAGCCTAAACTGGTTTATCCTATCGGGCTTAGGACAAACTAGTTTGAACTAGGCTACACTAGTTAATCCTAACGCGTATAGGAAGAACTAGTTTAGCCTAGGCAAAACTAGTTTGTCCTGAAATCGGGTTTGGCCGGTAACATATACATACCGGTAAGACGGTAAACCTATTTTTTTGAAATCGGGTTTTTAAGGGGGGGGGGAATCATCGAATGACTTCTCACGCCACTTTTTTTGAAATGAGTTAAAAAACGGAATAACAATGTTTAACTGAACACAATATATGAATAACTTTTGGAAAAACAAGAAATAGAAATGGCATATCTGCATAAAGACTGATGCACACACGCCCATTTATAACGTACAGACACAAAAACAAATTGACTTTGACATTGCTACATTAAATGATATTGCGTTTTTAGATGACCAATGGCTTGCTGCTTTCCTGAGAGGTACTAAGCATAATTTGAATCGAGCCAAGGAGAAGATAGATCTATACTATTCCTTAAGAACAGTATCACCTGATTTATTCAGGTTCAGACAGACTAACCCACGGTTTAAATATTTACTGCGAACTGGGTAAGTGAAAGATACCGTACATATAAATTATTGTACCAGATTACAGGACAGACTAATTTTGTCTTATATGAGTTAAATTGTACTATTTTCTATACAGGATGTAAACGGAAACTGGTTCCGATCCCGAAACGCTGACAAAAAGACATTGTTTTTATAATTTTAATCGTTTTCGTTTTCGTGTTATTCACGCAGCATTAGCTTTGAGCAGTTGATAACAATTATTAGATACACAAAAGAAACATTTAATTCCTCATTTTAATGAAAATAAAACTTGTTTTTGATCATCACCTGTCGGCGTTTTTCGGGCGCGTTCCGTTTACACCCTGTATGCTGAATTTTTTTTTCTCACCTGATGGTAAGCGGTCAGCGCCGCCCATGGACACCCACAACACCAGAGGAGTTACAGGTGCGTTGCCGGCCATGTATACATTGTATGTAACCATATAGCTCGAATTAACATGTAAGTAGCTTCAATTAACACTTGTATAGGACGGAGCCCCACGCAGCGGGGCTCCTATTTCTGTCAGCAGTGATTGAAGAAATCGGTTTGTCAATCAATCATAAAACCCTGCATCGAAGTCCAGTAGTTTCGTTGTTAGGTACTATCGGCAAAGGTTACGGTAGTACACTTTTGAAATAAAACTCTGTGCCAAACTCGCTATCTATCCGTTTTCCCGGTGGTGGCTCGCGTTGAGTGCATACGAATGTCACCTAATGATGGTCAACTGCAAACTTTGTCGATTGTATATCGAACTATAAGTAGTAGCTCCGTCAGGTGCATCTTTTACATATATAAGTGTATATACCTATAGCTTCGCTGACACGTGAATTCACAATGTCATTCATAACGTTGTTTTACAACTAGTTTGACCTAGACCGAATTTTTATCCTATTGAGCTTAAGATGTTCTAGTTTGGTCTGGTCTAGACTATATCAGATCATTTTATCACGTACTAGCTGACCTGAAAAACTTTTTTTTACATTTTATACCTTCCCTGGACTTCCACGAACATGTCGAAACCAAAATTAGCCAAATCGGTCCAGCCGTTCCATAATTTTACCGAGACTAACGAACGGAAATTCATTTTTATTTAATAGATACGACAAACGACTGGTTTCGCCTTGGTAAAACTAGTTTGTCCTAAAATTGATTTTCATTTCGCTGGTACCCCGTACCATTATACATTATAATATCTATAAACTTGCTGTGGTTTGCTTAATATTCTTATTAATAAACTAGAATAATGTCAAGGTCACACAAAAATATTATTTAATAGATTTTTATTACATAACACTTGTATAACAGAGTTACTGTTGATAGGTCATCTACCCTACATGTAAACGATAAACGGACGTTTCTATTGGAGTCTCATGAATGTGTATAGAAAAGTAAATGTATGGAATGGACACTGATATTCGATGAATTGTAATATTTTTTACTTAAAATATGCATAGATACATGAAGATTACAGAAAAAGGTTATTATTAATTTTTCGGTCAAACATTTGTTTGTCTTGACATTATTATAATTTTGGTAGTTTAATGAAACCACGGGCCTATTATTTATTTATTTAATAATAAAAGGTACAATGTATGTCTTGCAATTTAACGCCATGTCCAAAAAAACTATGCATAAATAGTCTGACTGTTGGATCTTTTACATTTGTATTAAATTAGTATTTATTATGATAATAGTTAAAATATTATTCGCGCACGGGTAATATAATGCATAGTCATAATTATTATATACATAATATAATATGTATATACATCAGGCCAGACACAATCATACTTAAAAAAACAAAATCGAAACGTCGTGGAGTATAATTTGGCCGGCTAAGTACCTATTCAACAGTCTTAGCGCACTAATTTCCAGTTGGTCTTCTTAGCGTCTAGTAGGTACCTATAAATAGTGTTTGTTTTGTTATTTCAGGGCTGCCTTAGTGTTACCGAAGCTGGCAACGCCACTGTCTCCTCGTGTTATCCTCATCAAACCCAGCCTTTACGATCCGAGCGAGATTCCGCCAATCGATTTCTTCTCTTTTGCACATCTTTTTCAACAGGTTAGTTTACAGGTTGAAGTGTCACAAAATACGTACAAATTTTTTGAGAAACCCCAGACTATAGGTAGGTCCCGTAAAACATGGTGAATTAAATTCGAAAGGTGAATAAAAACAGAAGAGGGGTGAATAGGCATTGGGAGATTTTTCATAGTATCTATTCATCCCTCGAATTCTATTCACCCCGTTTTACCCGGACTTTATTTTAATTAACTTCATACACATGAAAGTTATTCCTAGATATTAACTTCATGGTCATTTTAACCAGTTTACCTTTGGGTAACGAGAAAGAGGAGGGATAGTAACTCCGCCTGCCTCTTTTTTAAACGTTTTTTAGTTTATTTATAAAAGCACACAAGCAAATTTTTTTTTTTATTACGGCGGAAACTTTCAATAGGCATAAGGGACACCAGGTCTTCTGTAGAGACCTGCTCCGGGTGCCCCCAAGGTTACAGCACATCCCTAGGGAGACCTGCGTGTCCCTTGATGATCACTTTGGACGGCAGCACGTGACCTCTGTGCCACCTTCTTCCCTGATGCCACTGGATGGACCACTTAGAGTCCCCACTCTATGCACCCGTAGACGCACACAAGGACCTATAACAAAATATTTTAATTTACAGATTATGTATTTAGAAGATGACGCGTTTATGGTGAATGGAACTATAAATGTGATAGACATTGAGGGAATCACCATGGCTCATATTATGGCGATGACACCAACAGTGTTGAAGAAGCTGGTGATTGCGGGGCAGGTACGCGTACCAGTATTAATGAGACTATCCTATGTCATTACTTAGGTTATTGACATTATCACTAAGATATTTAAATATAAATTTAAAGTTACTTTTACTTAAAAGGTCACAAGATACGTCATCTATTTGATTCACAATGCGATACAAAACTTAATCGAAGTCGACTGCTTTCAATTTTATCTATATATAATCTATAGGTACATGTAATAAAACTGTGGAAGTGTAAATTCTGTACATTGAAAAATATTAAAACAATAAATAGTAAGTTGTTAAGAAATATACGACGAAACAAAAAAAAAATTTGCATGTCTGTCTGTCTGTCAGTATGTATGTTCACGCATCAAGCAAAAACTCCGATATTGATGAAACTTGATAGGATTATACTTTAATATGAGCGCACAATCCCTATACACAGTTACTGTACCAAAAGCAAATATAAGTAGGTCGAATGTTGAGTTGCCTGCAGTGAACTTTACACTGTAACAGTACGGTTTCAGATTAGGTTGAACCGATATTATAAACTAGCTACTTCAGCGCGGTTTCACACGCTCTGCTCAGCTCCTATTGGTCTTAGCGTGATGTTTTATGGCCTATAGCCGTCTTCGATAAATGCTCTATCCAACACAAAAATAATTATTCAAATCAGACTTGTAGTTACGGAGATTAGCGCGTTCAAACAAACAAACAAAAAAACAAACTCTTCAGCTTTATAATATTAGTATAGATATGTGAGTTTGTGTGGATGTTTGATACTCCGTCACATCAAAACGGCTGAAGGGACCGGGATGAAATTTGGAACAGAGCAGAGGTAGATTATGGTCTAAAGTAATACATAGGCTGCTTTTTATCCCTTTTTTATTTTATTTTTTGTTTTTGTTTTTTTTAAAAAAAACGTTGCCCCACAATTGGATTTTCTTTTGTGCCGTGGGTGCGCTTATAAACATACAATTTCACATACACAATGACACCCAGACCCGAAACAACAATTTGTGGATCACACAAAGTGTTGTCCCGTGCAAGAATCGAACCCGCGACACGTTGCACGGCAGCCGATTGCCCAGCCACCGCACCCAACCGTGCCGTTAAAACCGATGTGTTAAAATAATAATAATAAAACATTGGTTTGACAACCCAATATTTCGATTCGGTAGTTGCACTTACCTACTACTATATTAACAAGCCAATCAATAAATAGGTACCTATGTAAAGCTATAGATAGCAGAAAACATAAGAGGTTAATTTCTTTATCAGTCGTTATCGGTTAGGTGCAATGGTACACGTGGCTTTGTTCTATTTTTTCCGGTGCATACTTAAATATGGGCCCCAACGGAAAAAGACAAAGTATGTCTGGACAAAAAACGGCTGGTTACTTTACTTGTGTTAAATTCATTTTATAACATCCTCGAATTCATTGATGTTGTGTTATTAACCTTATTGTAATAGAACAGAGTTTATTATAAAACACCGCGCGAATATTTCTGTAACTTAGTGTCTTAAAGGCTATAATGCATTTAAGGAATTTAGCATTAAACCCTTAAGCCTACGATGCAGATTTAATTAACTGCTATAACATTTTTGTGAATTATATTTTTCAGGATGCTTCACCACTAAGACTGAAAAGTTTGCACATCATAAACGGAGTGCCGATTTTGGAGAAATTATTCAGTTTGACGAAAAAACTCCTCAACGAGAAACACAGGAAAAAAGTAAGCTATGAATAAAAAAGCCCATATATTTTAAAACCCAAATAGTCTCATATTATAATAGCCTTTATTTTAATTTCTATAAAGATGATTTTTCGTTGACTTGATAAATTATTCTATTCTTTTCAGCTCTTCATGCACACCAAGGATTTGAGTACACTAAATAATTACGTCCCTCCTGAAATATTACCTGCAGAGTATGGTGGACAGGGAGGGAGTAAGCAGGAGATAATAGGTATCACACATTTTTGTTTTAAGCTTTTTACTTACTTTTTAGTCTAGTCTTTAGTCTAGTCTAGTGGGTGAGATGATGGTGATAGATGGACGAGAAGCGCCTGAAAATCAAAACTTTGTGGTTTTCTGTTAAAAATTTAGAATCAGCAGTTTTGCTCGTGTCCTTTCGCAGGAGTCACCATTAAATGCTATCTAAAAATAAAACGATAAGAGACTTGTGATTACTTATATTATTTAAAAAAAATAATCTTTATACATATTTATTTGAGGCACCTTTTTTCAGACTATTGGGTGAAAAAACTAGACGATTATGGAGATTGGTTTGAAGAAGATATGAAGTTTGGAACGGATGAGAGCAATAGGCCGGGCAAAGAAAAAACTACAGAAAATACGATCGGAGTCCAAGGATCTTTTAGGCAATTAACTGTGGATTAATGCGATAAAAGTACTAGTATTATAGTAATGTATAATTGATTTTTGTTTATACTTAATCAATGGTGATTTTTAGTAGACCATTCTAGGTTAGTCATAATTGCTTACTTACTAGCTCAATTGAAAATAATTTTCTGTGATTTGATTAAAGTAATTTGAGAAAACTTTATAAATAGTTATAAGCCTATCTGAAAACAATAAATATATTTGATTTGATTAATATAATTCGGAAAATTATACTACCTACGCGTTTTATTTTTAAGTAATCAACTACAAAATCAATACTACTTAAATTATAAACGTAAAAGTTTTTGAGGATGTATGCGTTTGTGTGTTTGTAACTCTTTCACTCAAAAACTACTGATCAGATTTAGATGAAATTTGGAGCAGGGGTAGATTATAGTCTGTAATAACATATAGGCTACTTTTCATCCTACCATAGATAATGCATTAACTAGTACAGACTAAGTAAATATGTTAAAAGATTGATTAATTAAATTAATTCTGTCGTTTCATCTGTTTAGATGGTATTCCGATGGTATTTCATTTGGGGTCCAAAATGTAATTAGAAAAAGTTAATGGCGATATGAAATCATACTATTAAAGTATTACAGTTTTACTTACAGAAATGTAAATCATTATTTTGTATGATGGACCTAACACCATCAAGGGTTAACAGTTAACAAAATTTTAACATCACAGTATTTAAAATTTATGCATCGAGTCGTGAAAAATCAAGAAGTTAATTACCTTTTATGTTTTTCGGTTTACTCACGTAATTATTTGAGGAGGAACTCGACTAGCTTCAAGCCATGCTAGAAGCTCATATTCATGAGCAGCATTCCGCGACCCGCGACGTGGCGACTGTCGCGGTGCTACTGAACTGACACTACTCCTCGTTCCTCGCGTTCCTGTTCCTTGTCAAATAATTACGTGAGTAAGCCAAAGAACACAATAATTAATTTAGTATGTCTCACGAAAGTTATAATATAAATCAAGAAGTGTGCTAGGGTAAGAAAAGTGTCAACGTGTGATGATTAGACTTGAAAATAAGATAATCTTGATGTTAAGGTTACGTTTAATGATTGTATGCCTACAGTCATAAAATGAAGAGGAAGAATAGGTATATAATTAGCTGATTAAGATACTTAAACAAACACCGTACGTATGACGACGTTGAAACATGAACAATAAAGTGATTTAAACAATAAAGTTGGCGACACCAGTCGCCAAATAAATGGCAAACAGACCTCAAATCTCTTGAAGAAAAGCAGGCCAAGTTGCTCCTTACAATACAAACATTGTCGCAGCAACTAGATGAACTGCGCAGATGCCAACACAAGGCTGTGGAAAATACTACCACTCTCCAGATAGTAAGCCAAGAGATAAAAGAAAAGCTGAATTCTCGTGAGCAAACTGTCCCGGCTGATACAGCAAACCAGAGCCAGCAAAAAATTGAGGAGGACATAGTTAAAGTTAAAAATACTCTTAACATCATAGCGGGACACATCAAAGATGCCTCTACACTACTACCGCAAGCTCCTCAATTTGAAAAGGATCTTCAGCCAATCACCGAGCGTTTGGATGCAGTATCATCGGAACTTCGGACAATGAGGCAACTCAAAGAGCAAACGCCTCCCCCACTTGCATACAGCGTGGGTACGGAGATGGCACTAGCAGACATTGTCAAACAAATCCGACAACCCACGTATGCGCAGGTAGCATCCAAACCATCCGTCCATAGACCAAACCACACTCTTATAGTCAGTTCCACTGACCCCAGAAACACAGGGGACAGTGTTATTGAAAAGATAAGAGTAGCTCTAGACTGTAAAAAAACCGGAGCTAAAGTGGAAAAGGTGAGAAAGGCTAAGAATCAAAAGATAGTAATAAGCTGTGGCACCAAAGAGGACATGAAGTTGGTCCAGAGTCAGGTCCAGAAAAAGGACGACCTCAAAGTGGAAGTTGCTAAATCAGGTAACCCATTGCTCAGAATAGCAGATGTCCTGTCCTATCATACCGACGCAGAGCTAGTAGAACACATACTTGCTCAAAATAAACATCTTCTGGGTGACGTCGATATGCAGGACAGCATCATAAGGGTGAAGTATAGAAAAAAAGCACGAAACCCACACGAGTGTCATCCCGTTTTGGAATTGTCACCTGGTACTCACAAGCGATTTCTGGAGGCTGGTAAAATTTATGTGGGATTGCAGAGGAGACCTGTGTTCGACCAATCTCCATTGGTTCAATGCAACAAATGTCTGGAATACGGTCACACAAAAGCCGTATGCCAGGCTAAAGAACATCTCTGCAGCCACTGCGGAGAACCACACACTTGGGAGAAGTGCCCAATTAGGCTTTCGCACAAACCGCCAGTGTGCAGGAATTGCTTGAGGGCGCAGGGTCGGCTCAGACATAACACACAATGCCTTCAGCGACGTCTGTCGAGAACGGCAAAAATGGGATGCTATAGCACGCTCTCGCGTATCATATTGCTAAGGTTGACCGGGCAAACCGGGACGGAACTCCTTCAAGGGTGAACATTGGCAGGATTCGTGTCATCCAAGCTAACCTGCATCGCTCAAAGCTAGCGACCATAGAACTGGCACAAGTAGCGGAGAGAAAGGGTATTTCGATAGCTTTGGTTCAGGAACCCTATGTAGGGAACACCGGCGAAATGCAACAATACCCTGGCACAAAAATAATCCAGTGCACTTTAAATCGCCAAAAGCCAGTAAAGGCGGCCGTTATGGTTTTCTCGGATCAGCTGGAGATCATACATGATCCTCAGCTTGTAACGGAAACTGAAGCAGCCGTACTGCTTGTGTCAGGTAGCCTGCAGCTTGGAGTGATATCGGTTTACCTTGAGGGGGACCAAGACATAAACCTCAATCTGGTGCGCTTAAAGGAGTCCATACCAAAACTTACAACCAAAAATATTATCGTAGCTGGAGACGTGAATGCCTGGAGCCCATGGTGGGGCAGTGCCTCGGAGAACCAGAGGGGAGCGGACTACAATTCGTTCCTAAATGAGATGGACCTCCACATTCTCAACACTGGGGATACACCAACTTTTGAAGCGCTCAGAGGGGATCGATTTTTTACAAGTATAGTGGACGTTACGGCCTGCAGTACACCCTTACTAGCAAAAATCCAAAACTGGATGGTGAATAGAGACCTTACAACCTCTGACCACAATGCCATTACGTTTGACTTGCAGTTAGAAAAAGCACTAGACCCCCCAAAGCCCACAACAACGCGAGTCTACAACACTAAAATTGCAAACTGGACCAAATTTAGATCACACCTTCGAGATTCCCTAGCAAAGAAGCAAATAACTCCACAAAACATCAGGAATGTCCGGTCCTCTGAGGAACTAGAAGCCATGATAACAGCATACACAAACACAATCACGGAGGTATGCAATATCACAATCCCTAAAAATAAGCCAAAAAAAGGGAAATCAAAACCCCCTTGGTGGACAAGCTCTTTAGAGGATCTCAAAAATGATGTGCTTCGAAAAAAAAGGAGAATAAGGAACGCAGCTCCCTCTCGCAAACAGTTCGTCATTAACGAATACTTACAGGCAAAAGAAGCGTACACGTCGAAAGCAGGCGAAGAACAGACAAAGAGTTGGAAGGAGTTCTGCTCGGCTCAGAAGAGGGAAAGCATGTGGGACGGGATATACAGAGTCATCAGGAAAACAACAAAATACAGGGAGGATACGCTGCTCAGAGATTCTGAGGGTCTGACACTAAACCCAGACAAGTCAGCAGAATTGCTGGCTAAAACTTTTTATCCTGATGACACTATAACAACAGACAATTCCGACCATGCTGACCTTCGTGCTCTAACGGAAGGAAGGTGCCTGGATGAGATCGACGAGCTGTCAGATAATGACCCCCACTTTACTCAGGCTGAATTGGATTTGGTTTTAAATGCGACCAACTCTAAAAAGGCCCCCGGAGCCGACGGTCTGACAGCTGATATATGCGCAGAGGCAATCCATTGTGGGCGGGAGGTGTTTCTTGCTATAGCGAATTCATGCTTGGAGTGGGCATACTTCCCGAAGCAATGGAAATCTGCGCATGTTATAATTCTTCGGAAACCAGGCAAAGAAGACTATACCCATCCAAAGTCCTACAGACCAATTGGACTTCTGTCTGTTTTTGGGAAAATAGTCGAGAAATTGATGATAGGCAGAATCCAATGGCACATCCTTCCAACTCTTCACAAGAACCAGTATGGATTCCTACCTCAACGTGGAACGGAGGACGCACTCTATGATCTGGTTGACCGCATAAAAACTGAAATGAACGAAAAAAAGACCGTCGTCCTGGTGTCGCTGGACATAGAGGGTGCCTTTGACAATGCCTGGTGGCCAGCCCTGAAACATCAGCTCATAGCCAGAAAGTGTCCGAGAAACCTGTACGCTATGGTGAACTCCTACCTCAACGAACGGAAAGTGAAAGTAAATTTTGCCGGAGCTAGCAGCGAAAAGAGGACTAATAAGGGTTGCGTTCAAGGGTCCGTAGGTGGACCTACTTTTTGGAACCTTGTCCTCGATCCGTTGCTACACAGACTCACAGGAGAGGGAGTTTACTGCCAGGCTTTTGCGGACGACGTGGTTCTCTTGTTCTCGAACTATAAAGTGAGTGCATTGGAGCAATCGGTAAATGGTGCCTTGGAACTAGTAGCAGCCTGGGGGGTCAGCAACAAGCTCAGATTCGGGGCAAGTAAAACGAACGCTATGCTGCTGACAAGAAGGCGTTTTTGAGCCCCCAGACCTGTTTATGGCAGGCACCAGAATAAATCTCGTAGAAGAGGTAAAGCTCTTAGGCCTCACGATAGACAGAAAACTCACCTTCAGGTCACATATATCTGCCATATGCAAGAAAGCTGCAGACATTTACAAACAGCTAGCACGCGCAGCCAAGGTGACGTGGGGTCTCAACGGGGAAATAACGAGAACAATATACGTCGCGGTCATTGAGCCGATT